CCCACCAACACCGTACCCGTTCATCGCATGTGGGTTATGTGAGTGAGCGCGACCCAGAGAGGGAGAGGACACGCGCACCACCCGCCCGACCTCGCAGGCCTGATCACTCTGCACCCCTGCGCCCGGCACCCCGATCTTCGCAGACACACAGGCGCATATTTGGTGCCGGCGCTTCAAGGTCAGGCAGTGTCCAAGGTCATTCCCCCACCCCAGTGTCTACTCCCATGCCCGGCCTGACAGTGACATTTCCGGCAGGATTTCACATTGGTGGTCTCATGTCCCCACCCTCCCCTGCAGCTGTAGAGTCTGTGCTATGTACGCTGGCCACACGTTCCTCTACATTCCAATCCTTGCAGCCTCTGCATCAACTTGTACCTGCGAATGCCAGGCGCCGCGTCACTGCATACCTGCTGAGTCATCCGCAGTTCCTGGATGCAGGCTTAGTAAAGCGCATCATGGAGGAGTGGCACGGCGGCACAACTCCGGCAAACAGTCAGGGGGTGACTATCTCAACACCTGCAGGTGATCTGCGCATCACATTGGCTTCGCGCATTGTTAGGCTGCTCGACACTGCTGCCCCAGCGTCTACGCTGGACCCTACAGTGGAGTCCACAGTGGACGGCAATGCGAATCTAGCCCCGCGCACAGGTGAAACGCCCAACCATGACACGGCTGACCTCCCTGCTCCCTTTGATCCTCCCAGTGTGCCCACTGAGAGCGGTATCCCTGCCAATGCTGAGTCGGCGAGTCCTTCCCCGCTCCCGCCTGTATTTGAGGCTGAGAGCATGTCACGGCTTGCCCCCACTGAGGAAGTGAGTACCGTGCTGCTTGTGCCTACACCCTCCCCCGTGCCCCTGGAAAGCCGCGAAGTTTCTGTCCCTGCCAGTTCCCCCGCCCCTGCTGTGACCATTGCCGGCCTGGCCCCACCCGGCCTTTCCGACACCGGTGCCAGCCCCCACTCAGGTGACCCGGCGAATGTTGCTCCCATGACCCCTCCAATGGACTGCGTACTTACACCCCAACTGCGGGGTGTCGAGATGTGCTTGGCGCCAACTGCCTCCTACCGGTTACCAGCTGTACTAGCTGTCTTCAGCCATTTCAGCCTGGCGAGACACTGGTCAGGCTGATGTGTATGCACTACTTCCACAAGGAGTGTGTCACGCGATGGTTCTCCTCGCCCACTCATGGACATCGCTGCCCTTACTGCAATGTGAATCTGATCGGTTTGGACAGCTGATTGGCCGCTTCCCGTCCTCATAGTGGATTGGACACGCCAGGCATCCCGTCACGCAATGTGTTAGAGATGCCCGCATTTTCGACTATGCAGTTGAACCCCAGCCTCCTGCACTGCTGGGTTGTCGGCCGGCACAAGCATGAGAGTAGGGACCTGAATCGCACATGGGT